TTCCCTGGAACAGCCCTCATGGCACAGATGGAATTAAACCTCTTACTATGGTTTTCCCAGTTGCAATGTATGGCTGTGAAAGCTGGACCATAAGGAAGGCTGAATGCCGAAGGATTGAGGCCTTTGAATGTTGGTGCTGGTGGAGACTCCTGTGAGTCCCTTGGACCGCAAGGCAATCAAACCGGTCAGTCCTAGAGGAGATCAACCCTGACTGCTCTTTACAAGGCCAGATCCTGAAGATGAAACTCAAAATACTTTGGCCACCTATTGAGAAGGAAGGACTCCCTGGAGAAGAGCCTGACGCCATGAAGGATTGAAGGTGAAAGAAGAAGGGGGCGGCAGAGGATGAGGTGGCTGGATGGGGCCAGTGGAGCAGTTGGTATGAGCTTAAGTGGACTCCGGGGGACGGTGGAGGACAGGAAGGCCTGGAGGAATGTTGTCCATGGGGTTGCGATGGGTCAGACATGACTTCGTGACTAACAACAGCAACATACCTCACCCATAGCTAGTCTCCAGCTCCTGGCTTACCCAAACTAGGGCCTATGCCTCTCATAGCCTATTGACTTGCCCACCTTCACTTGGTCATTTTAGCACCTCTAGTAGTGTTAAAAACATAGCAACCACTCTGGCTGTTGCTTTGTAGTCAGTTGACAATGTCTCTTTCTGTTGCCAGGAAGTACAGTTAGAGTTTTTTTGTGTCACAGCTTACAATAAACAGAAACTGGGCTGTTGGCAGAAGTTGCCTCATCTTATCAAACTAACCCTCTGCTGTGCTAATTAGTACAAAATTATGTCCATAATAAAGTTAGGAATTCTTTTCTTCCTTTTTCTTCTCTTTCTTAGTTATTGGTAGAGACAGAAAGATCTGCTTGCAGTACTCTTTTTTTCTCTCCCTCTGCAAAAACAGTAGGAAAGCTGATTCCTTCTGAAAGCACAGTAGCATGTTATGGAGTTTTGCTTCCAACTGAAAAGGGGGGTGTATCTCATTTCTGATCATGCCCCTTGCCTTCAAAAGCAGCAAAGCAGCTGCTTTTTAGGATGAGCGATTGGTGAAGGATTTGGGCTTACGTTCAAATAGTGCTTGGAGCAAATGAATACTGTTTCAAAAACTTGGTGGTCGGGAGAAGGGTGGAAAGAGGGAAGGTCCAAGGTTGGAAGCAAATGTGGAAACTCCACATAAGAGGGGAAATGAAATCTGGCGTTGGCTGGCCAACTCCACTGCAGCTGTGTTTATGACTCCCATAGAGCCGGGGGTCGGACTAGATGGCCCGGGAAGCCCCTTCTGACTCGCTCTGTTTCCGTGTTTCTACATTCTCACCGGGTAGTAGTAATCTCCCTTCTACTGCAGGGATGCTGTGTAGCTGCCATTCTGGTTGGTGATGTGACCCATCACTTGGTTAGCCAGCCGTCGCAACAGTCATCCTTCATTTCCAGATTGGGACAAGCCAGAGGACCTTCCATCCTTCGAGTTCCACCTGCCCCGAGAAGCAGCATTTCGCTTGTGTGTGAGTACAGCAGGATCCACCCGGGTCCCACTGCACGGACGTGTGGATCCATTCGGCATGCGTGTACTCTTGGATATGGCCCTTAGCTATTCCCTTTTCTCTCTTACCGTCTCCTTCACAGCTAGCAGGTCAGCAGATGTGTTAAGAAAAGAGGAGAACATATCCCTTTAATGAGAGCTCACTTCGGCATTGTTTCTGTGTGTGAGAGATTGCTGTCTATGATGTTCTACAGGAGTGGCCTTTGAGGCAGGGGAACTGAATAATGAGCTGAAGGCAAGGGCTTCTTGTAATCCCATTAAAGGAAAAGGTTATTGTATTTCCTGTCTAACCAGTGAATAGCAGTGCCTTGCACCCAGCGGGAAGCCTGGGCATCATCCATTAAATAGTCCCGACCCTTGATGCATTATTTGCCAAGTGATGCTTTTGGTATTCCCAGGTTGGAGGGGAAGGATTCTCTGATGCCATCAAAGCCCAAGCACAATAGAGGAGGTGCTCTCTTCAGCCAAAATAAAAACAAATTTTTTAAAAAAAATATATTAATATGTTCCATGCCGCATTGGAAACGTCTCCATGTTTTCAGCTGCTCCATTATTTATCTGCCGAAATGCTGGGCTTTTATTGCTGCTTTTAGAAGAAAACTTTTTAATGTGTTTTCTTATTGGTTTTAGTGTTTTTTTCGCTTGTATTATATGGGTTGCCCTGCAAGGTTTGGCTATAGGGCAACACATAAACTGAATGAATGAATGGAGGTCAAGCCAGGAGCTTCCTGCTCATTGCTGAATAGAAAATAAGGAGTCCTCCGAAAATGAAACAGAGAAAACACAAGCGAGATCTCAAACGGAAATGTTTCAGCAAGGTAAGGCGGGAGAGGTAGCTTGGTTCTTGTAGGAACACAGGCAATCTGTTCATATAATAAGTTCTAATAATAAGTCCAATATCATCTATCCAGCATCATCAGTAGCGTCATCGAATCACACCTCTGGAAGGCATCTAAAAGGTCATCTGGTCCATCTTTTGTTTACAACTTTAACTGAGCCCAGTGCCTTCTAAGGTGGTCTTTTCCTCTGTGAAACAGATCATGCCATCAGGAATTTGCTCCTAATGTTTTGCCCACATCTTCTGGTAGTTTAAACTCACTGGAGGCTCTGTTGGGAGCAAGAGAAAACAGAACCTGAGAGGAGTCATGATGGGACAAGCATGTCCATTTTTGTATGTTCAGGTGGGAGAAATTGAATTTTAAAAAGGAAACTAAACTAGGTAACATCCTGAACCTGATGTAAAGCAGCTCTTCTGTGTCCCCAGGATCAGAAGAAAGGTACGATGTAAATGTAACTTCAGAGCAGAATGAGACTCTAAAGGCAGAAACAAAGCCTTTTCAGCGATGGCCCCAATTCTGGAATGGTCTCCTTACTGGGATCTACCTGGCACCAACAATATTATTATCCCAGCTGCAGGTTAAGACTATCCAGGTGTTTGATGTAATGGGACATTTATTTTTATCAGGTCTAGCATAATTCTGTAATGGCTGGCACCTATTTGAAATTGCTTTTAAATTCTGCACATTTCAGATTTTATAATATGCTGTTACTTTATTGTATTTGTAACTGGCATTTTTTGTGAACTGCCCAGAGAGTTTTGACTGTTGGATGGTATAGAGATGAGATTTTCTTTCTGCAGGTTCCTTCCAATCCCTCTTCATTCTTAGATTTATTGCACAGAGTTTTGTGTGTCTATCCATCTACATTTAGCAACAGCTGGTGTTCTTTGGTCACTCAAGCAGCAAAACTCATTTGTAGACCACAATAAACCCCCTGCACATGTGCACACAGATGTCGTTGGATCTTTGTGGTTGTATAAAGATTTCTGAGTGTAGATGTACACAAGATCTTATAAAGCCACTGCCAGCCCAAGAGCCAAATTCCATCTCAAAGCAGTTCTTGGAAGTTGCATCCCAGTGACAGACAAAGATGCAGGCAAAAGATGTGGAGCCCAAAATACCAAATTTACTAGCCTAGTTTAGCCTAACACTCTTACTAGCAGGAAGAGTGTTAGGTTGTGTTTGTGGTTGAAATGCCTTACAAGAGGCATTTCAACCACAAAAGGCATGAAAACACACAATGAACTAGTAGAAAGCGGTGGAATGAGAACCGGCCTTGGACTTCTGCAGAACCACAAAGGGTAAGATCCAGTCCCTGTGCTTGAAGATCTCCACCCATTCTTCACCAGCTCTTGCCCAAGGTAAGCTAGGAAGGCAGAAACAACATCCAGCATTCTTCTAACGAAAACAGCCTCCATTCAATGTGGGGAAAGTTTCTGGACAGTCATTACAAAATAGCATGGAGATAGGAAACCATTCCAGAAATTGCTTCCTGGAGTTAGCTGAAATGGAAAAAAATAAACCTGCGTACCGTCAGCAGGATAGCCATGACCAGAACAGTGCCACGGAGTGAAGCTGACAGAGCAAATCATACACCTCCCTTGGACTTCCTTGAAGCAGCTGATTGGACTCGGGAGCATGAGTACGCCCCTGAGCCAGCTGGGCAGAATGGCTCAGCAGGAATGGTGACCTTCATCCCTCCATGCCCTCCAAGGGAACATAATACCCTTTGTCTCTCTGGAGCTCTCATCCAGGCTCAGGGTATTTCAGATGCATTCTTTGGATGATTCTGGTCACCTTCACAACAGCTGTTAGGCAATAATTCTTCCCATTGATCAGATCTGGGATAGCCCAAGGTTCAAGCAAGCTACATGTTAAGTGGAACTGGGTGTTTTTTTCCCCTCTTTCTAGCCACTGAGAGTCTGCCTCTGAGCCTGAGAGAGAGTCTATCTAATTGAACTAACAGATTCTAATTGAATTAGCAACAGAGATGAAATCTGAACTGGAGGATGTTCTAGATTTGAACTGGGGACTACATAACCCCGCCTTCCCTAACCTGATGCCTTCCAGAGCTGTGGGACTGCAATGCCCCTAATTCCTAGCCAGCATGGGAATTTCGGTAACTCCTAACCAACACACCTGGAGGAGGGCAGGTGGAAGAACGCTGACCTAGTGCATAGTGCACGAACTAATCCATCCCCTTAAGACAGCTTCCTCGACTCGCTGGCCTGCAGTTGTACAGGACTGCAATGTCCATTATCTTCCAGGCAGCACGAAAGTGTCCCATGGGAGGGACTTAAGCCAAGTCTGGTCAGCCACCGGCCAGGGATGCTTTGGCTGCATAAATCACGGAGCTGGGCTAGGTGATCTCCACAGCCCTTTCCAACTCTAAATCCCAGCATGTATTTGAACCCCGGAGCAGGCATGAAGCCCAAACGTCCTGCTTGCAGAAGTGCTCTCCCCGACCTCCTCCACCATCAGCCAGGTGGATGCATGTGTCTGCCCTTGCAGAGGGAAACGACTCCAGCTCTGCATATTTTTCCCCCTCCAAACGGGTTTCTGGTAAATTAATTTTCCCGTAATACAAGTCACTCAGTTTACTAATACCTTGGGAATCACAGGCCGATATTTCCCATTGCATCAGACTTAATGGATGCGTCACAATAACTTTCACAGACCCTCATTATCCTTTCCTTTCCGGCATAAACGCAGCTTTGGCACTTGGGTCCTTGTTCAAAGGTTGCACTTGGCATATTGATGGGTGGTGAGTGTTCTCTTTATTTATTTATTTATTTATTTATTTATTTATTTATTAAAACATTTTTATGCCGCCCCATTCGCCAAAGCCTCGGGGCGGCTTACAAAAATAAATAAAACCAATAAGTTAAAATATACATATAAAATAATCATAATAATTTAAAACACACATTATAAAATAAGCCACCCTGGCCAGATAAAATTCAATAACATTAACATTTAAAATGCTGCTTAAATAAAAAGGTCTTCGCCTGCCGCCGAAAAACAAATAACGACGGCGCCAGGCAGACCTCTCTGGGGAGCGCATTCCATAACTTAGGCGTCACCGCTGAGAAAGCCCTCCTCTGAGTAGCCACCCTCCTAATTTCTCTCCCGGAGGGCTCCCGGAGAAGGGCCTCTCCCGCCGATCTCAGGGGGCGACTGGGCATATATGGATGTAAACATGTACAGCATGTGAGATGCCCGCTCCCCTCCAAACGATCTCAGCGTGTTACGTAAAATGTGAGTTGCAACAGCACTGGCATGAACTAGCAAAGTGCATTCACCTTGAATCAACGAAAAATGGCACCAGAGGGGGCGCACCAGCCCAATGCACATTCGTTGTGAAACAAGCACCAATGGAAGAGTATCGCTATGAATCAGATTACTGTCATTATGAATGCAGTTCAGTCTACCCCAACCCGGAGCCTTCTGTTTTGGACTACATTCCCCGTCATCCCCAGCCAGCATGAGCAAGGGTCGCTGAACTTCTGGAAGCTGTATTCCAGAACATCTAGCGAACACCAGGTTGGGGACGGGTGATGCTGCTCAGCCCTGTGAACACCGATGGAAAAAGACGCTTGCAGTGTTTCAGCTGAGCTTGGACCTTCCTGTCAAGCAGGAAGAGGAGGGCAAGCAAGCCGTGCCCATCTCTGAGGCAGCCATTCTCTTCTCCAGGTGAGTCCTTGCCTCTTGGCACAGGAAGGGGAGATGGTGGAAACAGCTGTATTGTATTCCAAGTATTGGAATATTGTATTCCAAGTATTCCTTTCAAACTCTCTCTGAATTTACATTTTATATCTCCATTTACTCTATTTATATCCACCTTTTTTCCTTTCAGGACAGCTTATATCAGTCTCCTCCTCCTCTCAGTCTTATCCTCACAACAACAGCCCTCTGAGGTAGGCTGGGCTGAGAGTCTCTGCCTGGCCCAAGCCACCCAGTTGGCTCCATGACTGAGCGGGGACTCGAACCCAAGTCTCCTGAATCCCAGAATATCTGATGGAAGGTAGTCCCACCTTGCCCAGTTATTTGGCCAGTAGCAATGACCCCGTTTGGCAATCCCACCTGACAAAACCTTGTAGATTTCCTCTTGGCCGCTGCCATTGCCCACATCCTTGAAGAGAACCAGTCTGTGGTCCATCCTCCGCCGTTTCTCTAACAATTCCCACAATTCTTTAACCTGTCAATGCCTGCAGTGGTGCTACATGGATATATTTAATCTGCAGGAAAAAAGCACACATCACAAATGCTTCTTGATATAATTCATTGATGCCATTTGGCAGATCAGATAAAGAATCGGAGCTGGCTTGTTCTAACTTATGGGTTCCCCTGCAAATAATCTCCCTTATCCATAATTAGCTAGTTTATGAATTGCTGATAGTTTGGGTCCATACATATGAAATCTGTCTTCCTAAGTAACACAGTTGCAAATGAGGGTCACTCTTTCATTCATTCATTCATTCAGGTTTTTTTAATACTGCCCAAAACCCAGGGCTCTCTTTTGCCTGGATGTTGTCATTCCTGGATGTTGTCGTTATTTGTTTTTCGGCACCAGGCGAAGACCTTTTTATTTAAGCATCATTTTAATTGTTAATATTATTTGCTTATTTTATCTGGCCAGGGCGACTTATTTTATATTGTTATTTCTTGTATTTTAATTTTATGTTGTGAGCCGCCCCGAGGCTTCGGCGAATGGGGCGGCATAGGAATGTTTTAATTAATAAATAAATAATAAATAAATAAATTCCAAGATCTTACTGAAATAATCCATGCCTGATTCCAGGAGCAAAGCCAATCATTTATGAAGCTTCATTCACTGGAGATCGGGTGGAGGAATACAAGGGTGCTTCCTCAGCCTTTGGTCAAAGAAAGAAACGGTGATGAAAGAAAACTTGTCTGATATTTCCCACAAGGTTGGTTGTAAAATGAAAGACACACACCTGGAAGGATTTCTTGGTTACCTCTTAAGTAAGGACAGCCCAAAATCCCACAACCCAACCTATGAAAATTTATCTGAAATTCCTTCTCCTTCGAATTTCTTTTCGAAAGCAAAGTTTTCCGATCAAATAAAAGGAGAAGAATTTGCTGGCACGTCACTAGTTTTGCTGTACACGTGCGCTGAAAACAAACAAGAGCACAAAAGGACTCGATTCAGAATTGCTGACTTTTGTGAAACCTTCCCGTGATTATATATCATTGGTACCAACACTCTGGAAACTCTCAATGCTGGCTAGAAATCAATAGCTGGAATATGAGAAACTCAAGTTAACAATGATGTATTTGGTCATAACATAATCTTTGCATGTTTCTCGGCTTATGGAGTCCAGTGTAACAAGAGGGCACCTCACTCATTACAAAACTGTCTATATTTTCCACACCCCATAAAGCAAGACACTGCAATAGCTTGGGCACTGCAGAGACTGGCTGAGAGTTTGGAACTGGACTCAAGTCTATGCCCTATCTTTCTATCTGCTAAATGAAGTTATTGGATCAGAAAAAGACAGAAGATATGTCACTTGTGTGGGAGAAATGCTTTCACAAGTTTTGCCAACTTTGGTTTATTTATTTATTATTTAGTAAAACATTTCTATGCCGCCCCATTCGCTGAAGCCTCGGGGCGGCTCACAACATAAATTAAAATACAAGAAATAACAATATAAAATAAGTCACCCTGGCCAGATAAAATAAGCAAATAATATTAACAATTAAAATGACGCTTAAATAAAAAGGTCTTGGCCTGGCGCCGAAAAACAAATAACGACGGCGCCAGGCAGACCTCTCTGGGGAGCGCATTCCATTGATCGGGCGCCACCACAGAGAAAGCCCTCCTCCGGGTACTCACCCTCCTAATATCCTTCATGGAGGGTTCCCGGAGAAGGGCCTCTCCCGCAGATCTCAAGGGGCAGGCGGGCGTATATGGAGGTAAGCGCTCCTTCAGGTAACCAGGACCCAAGCCATTTAGGGCCTTATAGGTCATCACCAACACCTTGAATTGGGCCCAGACTTCAATGGTTCAATGGTTTAAACTTTGCAGGTACGATTCATAAACCCAGTGAGCTATTTGTTTCTCGCTTCTCTCTTTTTTAACCTTTGTCTTTTATCACTAATTCAATGATGCATCTCTTTCATAAAGCTAATTTTCAGTGTGAGACAAAAACAAAGCTTGTTTGAGTGCCAAGAAAAACAACTTCTTCTGGCTCTGAGCTGTAGATAAAGATGGAGTCAATTATAGAACGCAAAGGGCAAAATAAATTAAAAACACCAAGCCCTTTAAATATACTATGCTGTATAGTAAGGATGTTGTACCATTCTAACAGTGAGCAAATGACAGCTGGATCGTTGCCCTGAGAAAACAAGGAAAGATTGATTAAAAAGATGGATTGGAAGGGAAGATTCAGCACTCAGGGAAGTGAATGTGCTTTGCATGCAAAAGATCCCAATGGCTATTTTGGGTATTTCCAGGTAGGGCTGAGAAAGGACCAGTTTGGCCACTGGGGAACAACTGGTCTCTTTGTGGGCAGCTGTAGCTCAGTGTTAAAACACAAGCTGTGCTTGCAGCAACTGGCATTTCCCGACTTGCTATGAGCCAACTCTAATAAAACAAAGTATCCCAGCCCTGCAATCCTACAAACATTATTTAGGAGTAATGCTTACCGTGTTTAATGCGTACAGCATTTGAAACGAGATCGTGGGCAAATTCAGTGCTGAATAAATCTAGAAGTAAACATGCTAGGGATGTTAAAATAAGACTGAAATGCAGCTTTATATAAAAAATATTGTGCCCTCAACTAAAATACTATGCTCTGTTCTGGTCACTCCATCTTACAAGCAACAGTTTTTTCAGCCCAGCTCATTGTATCTTGCCATTCCAAATGTGTTCCAGCTCTCAGAAAACTCAAGAGCACCTTCGTTTTCCGAACCCTAACCCTACCCTGGATTTCCTCCCTAACCCTAAAATAGGGCACAATCACCCATGCATCATAGCGATTTATAAAATACTCATATTCAAGAGGTATTTCAGCCCAACTCATTGTATCTTGCCATTTCAATCGCATTCCAGCCCTCAGAAACATCAGGAGCATCTTAGTTTTTTTAATCCTAACCCTAACCCTGGATTTCCACCTTATCCCTAAAATAGGGCCCACGAACCCATGCACTAACCCAGGGACTGCAGGTGGCCCAGTGGTTTAAACTGCTGTGCTGCTGGGCTGGATGATCAAAAGATCGCCGGTTCGTATCTGCACAACGGGGTGAGTTCCTGTTGCTCCGTCCCAGCTCCTGCCAACCTTGCAGTTCAAAGCATGCAAATGCAAGTAGATGAAAAGGTACCACTTCGGTGGGCAGGTAACAGCGTTCCGTACACCTCGGTGTTTAGCCATGGCGGCCACGTGGCCATGGAGACTGTCTGCGGACAAGTGCTGGCTCCCTCGGCCAGGAAACAGAGATGAGCACCACCCCCAAGAGTCAGGCATGACTGGACTTCACGTCAAGGGGAAACCTTTACCTTTACCTTAACCCATGCCTTGTACCAATTCCTAAAATCCAGATTTTTTCAGCTCAGATCATTGTATCTTGTCTGGGTTCAGAAAACTGAGGTGCTCCTGCGTTTTCGGAGGGCTGGAATGCATTCGGAATGGTGAAATACAAGGAGCTGGGCTGAATAAACTCCAGAAAATGAGGTCTTTTGAAATCAGTACAAAATCTTACAAGCAATAGTATAGAAATGGAAAACCTGCCAGAAAAGGAATTTCAGACCTTCTTTATGAACACAAGAATGAAAATTTACATAGTTTGAGAGTCTGATATTTTCGGAAAGGAGGGAAAGATGATCAGGGAGGAGAGATGAGTGGTAATAATTTACAAAATTATTCACAGAAGTGGAGAATGTGGAAAGAGACAAGATTTTTCCCCCTCTCCAATCATACTAGGACTTGGGGATCACCCAGCACTATTGATTGGTGATAGACTCAGAATTAGACATGTTGCAGAAATCCATTAGGATTTGCATGAATTTGGATTTCTAAGAATCTGTCCCACAGATTTTTCCCTGGAGTGGCTTTTCCTGAGTTGAATCAATGGATTTGCAATCCATTAAAAATGTGATCTTATGCAAATTTAGTCACAGAAACACATAAAATAAACCAAAATGTACATTTTCCCCATGAAGTAGGAAAACATGCATTTTGAAGCATTCACATATGGAGGGCTGAACATTTTCAGGAATATGAATTTTTATAACTCAGAATTTAGCTTGTCTAAATCTTGTATACTTTTATAATGATGTGTTATTCTGTGTTGTAAAGTGCTTTAGAGTGTTTTAATGATGGAAGCATTAAATAAGCATGCATAAATCAAAATGTTTTAAATTGATTCCACTGTATTCATGGTGCTTACTCTAAGGTAAACAAGGTTAGAATCACCAAGTGTTGTTATCCAGAGGGTCAACTGGGAATGAAATCCTTGAGTTTAAATAAATATTGAGAATTCTTCTAATAAATTTTGGCCTTAACAGCATCAAATACGGGGTCCTATTTAGTCTAGTGTCTTTCTGCAAACGTTTTTCTTCCAATCCTCATTGTACAGTTAATCCGCTTTGCTGAAAGTTCTCTGTTTCCTTCAAATAACCTGAAAAACTGAGCACCTAAAATTGGTGGCTAGAAATAAGCAAAGTTGACATTCAGAAAGACAAAAACGGTGGTGGATGACACCCTTTGTCAGAAATAGTTTCCATATGGTCACGATGCCTCGCAGTTTCTCAGCTCGGCAAGGAAATTGTATTACTATTACTATCTTCTCTGTCAGAAGTGAGTATTCTCCGTAACTGTGTTGGCCTGTAGCATAAAGAGTGAAGATGTGCTGAAAGGCAATGTCTCTGAGAGGCATGAAATGCCCAGGGGTTGGGCAGCAAGGGAAAAGAAGTCCCAGATAAGCTAGGTAGTGCTGTGGAGGGTGGGGGGCGTTTGGGTTCAAGACCCAGAGAGATGGAAGTCCTACTCTTATGAGAATGCAGTGCCAGACCATTCCCTGAGACTCTCGGATCTGGGAGGTTGGAGACCGGATGTTCCTGACCGTGAGCCAAAGCTGGTGGTGCCCCATCCAGCCCAGAGTTGCAGGATTTCAGGCCGTTCCAAGATACCTCCTTGCTCAGCAGGGTCCTTTTCTCTCTCTTAGGGCAGACCAGCCTTCCCCAGTTCGGTGGCCTCTGGATGTTTTGGGCTGCAGCTCTTCTCAGGCCCAGAAAGCGTGGTGAATGCTCGGGGATCTTGGCCGCCATCGTTCAAAGCACCCTGGGAAAAGCCAAGTCAGATTCTTCCAGCCCTTGCAACTTTCCCTGCTGAATCAGAGCAAAGACCAGCTAGTTCAACACACAGTTCCTGCAACAGCCAAGCAGCAGCCTGCCAGAAACCCAGAGCAGGGCGTGAGTGCAAGACCCTTCCCTCTGCCGTGTTCCTCATGACCGGAGCACAGGCTTAGAACCAAAAGGCACTCCGTCTTCACGACGTGGTTCACACTCAGGCACGAAGGGGGCGGTTCCCACGCAGCCCACCAGGAGGAAGAGCGAGTGGCTTGGCTTGGGACACTCTGGATTGCAGCCCCCACAGCATGGGAAGAAAAGCCATATGAGAGACTTCGCGGGCGGGTGAGCATTCTGCAGGACCCTCAAGGTGACAGAAGACGCCCAAGACAAGCTGCGCAGGATTGTCGGACGTGGGTCAAGGCAATGCGTCTCCGTCATTGAGGGGTTGGGTGGAGGGACTCAGGAAGGGTACCTGCTTAGCTGTTCCTAATGGAACACTTTATAAAAGCCTTGAGTAACGTACGTACATACGTACGTACGTACATAACCCCTCCTCTAAGAGGAAGGCTTTGTGTATGTCTTCCTCCATCAAAGGATGGGGGAAATGATGATTCCCTTGCCTTTCCCATTTAAATACTTTCAGGGGCAGGTAGGACTGGACAAACACCTGCCTGAAACCTGGAGAGCTGCTGCTGCCAGTCAGAGTGGACAACACTGGGTTAGGTGGGCCCACCTTCTGATTCATGGCAAGGCAGCTCCTTACATCCCTGTGTTTCCTTGGATCGGGGAAGGGCTGTGTCTTGGGGGCAGGTTCACAAGGCTTGGCAGCTCGCTCCTTGTAGCCCCCTGCACAGTCATTCTGTAACAACTGCAGATCCTTCCGCTGAGATACTGTTGTGGCCCTGCATGCCCCAATAGCACCTGTCCTGCCTCGTCGTTTCTGGGCAGTTTCAGTGATCACAGTGGATCCTGTGATTTCTCTGTCACGGATGGCTTGGCCTCTTTTTCCATGGTGATGAAGGCCAGAGGGAGATCTCAATCTGCTTCAACCTCAGATAACTCTTTCCTGGTAATAACTGATGTAAGGAGAGGAGGAAGGAAGTCATTTGCCCCGGGCACTTAATTCAAGAAAAACTGAAGCAAATCCCAATTCCCTGGCTGGCTTCTCTTATGCACAGTTTTTATGTTTTGCACTTCAGCAGGGCAGTCTGGGACTAGAGGAAGGCTTCGTGTGCGTCTTCCTCCATCAAAGGAGAGGGGAAAGGACAATTCCCTTGCCTTTCTCACTTAAATACTTTCAAGGGCATGCAGTTGAAGAGCTGACTTCTCTTCTGGCAGGATGCTTTGCAGATCTCAGTGTCAGGTTAATCAAGAACGAGGTGTGAAAGGCGTGCAGTTCAGTGCTGATTTTATTTGAGAATACTGGCTGGGCAACTTCCTTTCAAAGAAGGTCTGGGGGCTTTGGATGGGGGTTTTGAGAGCAGATCGAGCTTTCTTCTTGTTATCCGGGAGGCTGCGGAGGCCAAGGAGGTGCTTTACCTGACAATCAGCAGCAGCATTTAGGAGAGAAAGATCACTGCCTTGCATCGGATTGGGGATATGCCAGGAGGGCAGTGGGAATGGGTCCCCGGGCAGCAGTTCCATCTGCTGTCCACCACCCTGGTGCAGCTTACTCTCCCCACATATGCCTGCCTGGACCCCACATCATCCTCAGCAGTTCAAGCAGTGCAACAAGCCTTTATGAGTTGAACAACCCCTAAAACAAGCCATGGGTAGTCAGGGTGGCCTGTTGGTGAGAAACAAGCCAGCTTAGAAGAAAAGGTCCAAGTTCTCACAACCCAATAAGCCACCATGGTCTTGACCCACAGCAGGTCACTGTGTCATGAAAACCCAACATATATAGGTCAACCGACTGACCTAGCTCCAGGTTGCTTTTGTCGCCACTGTTGCTCTCTGAATGGCCATGTGCAGGATAGGATGGTCACCATCAATACTTTCTGCACTGGATTTGCTTCTGACTCCACTAGCTACGATTTCCCACCATCGCCATGACACAGTACGCATCTGGCAAAGTGGACAGTGTCTGTGAACACTAATCCCAGGTTCATGCATGTGTTCATCTTTAAGGCACCACAAGAGTCTGGGTGTGCTGACGATGGGAAGTTTGGTTGGTTGAACTCTGCAGATCTCCTGCCCACTTTTAATGCAATGATCGGACGGGGTCCACAGTTTTTTCTGTGGACCCCCCCTCTCTATGGTGGGCAAACCACATGAGAACCACATGATGTTTGCATGCTAATTTGCATGGATCAGCCAATTTCACATGCATTTTCTTAGTGTTCTTTTTTTAATTTAAAATGTGCTTTTTTAAAAATTCTGCAACCTGAGTCCACCATCTTGTGCAAAAGCAAGCTGCATGATCACAATGCTGGCAAACCAGAATCAAATTGCGGAAAGGATGTTCACACACACATTGGCTGCTTTACTGCAGCTCCCTCCCTGGAATAAGCCCCAACCCATCTGTCCTCCACAGGAAACGTCACAGCTCCTGCAAGACCTCGGCTGCCATTCAGATGTGAGAGAAAGCTCTAGAGGATAATGGAAAGTGTTCAAACAAGGCACGTGTCATCAAAGGCATCACCCAGGAGTACATGCTTTGTTTTAATAAAGCATAAATTGTTTACCTCAAGTTAGAATTATCAGAGGCCTCAGATGTTCCCACATAATTGAAAAGCTTTTATAGGCTTTTGTTTTGGAATTATCATTCTCCTGAAGGGTAAGAGTTAATTTATCCAAGATTGCTTTCTCTTACTATTTTTCCCCATCACCATATTTCTGGAAAATGAAATATTTTCTGCTGATAGGAAACAGTTGGTTTATTAAAAGAGAGATCAATATGAATTTTCTCTAGAATGATGTTGTACTATTTATGGAAGTGTGGTTTGTCTATTTATTTAGTCACCCTTATCTACTGAGGATAAATAGTAGGCATTGATGGATTGATTGATTCTACTTCTTTGTTATTTTGCTGTTACAAGGAGAATAATTCATATTC